CCCCCAAAAAAAAAAAAAAAACTATAATAATAATAAAAATAAAAATAAAATCAAAACCAAGACACCTCACACCCTCGAACCCAAGAAAATCCTGAAATCCTGAAGACGGCATCTTGCCAGTCGCCTGCTCGCAGACTCGATAGATCTCCTGGCCGGAAGCTCGGCTTTCTGGGGCCTTGATAATTAAGTAGAATAGGGTATTAGGGGGGAGGTTATACTGAACCTATCTAGGGGTTACTATAGGGGCCTCAACAAGTAGAATAGGGTATTAGGGGGTACTTTTTTGCACGATAGTTACAATGAGAAGCCCCAAAATAGTATGGATAAATATTTAGGCCGCACACACCTTTGCGGTTTGGTGTCCCCTGAGCTACGGAACACTTGCGGCCTACTCCGAACCCGAAGCGAAAACACCTTCAAAGCTCACACGAGCTGCCACAAAATCTTATGTAAAGTATTGAGGATTCAAGCTCCTACAACCCTGCCGAACCCTTCAACCCATAAGCGCTAGAATCAAAAGCAGTCCAAAACCAGACGCCCAAGAACTAGCTGGAGAAGGACGCCCATACTTCATCTGCTCTGCACGCAGAAACCAAACATGTCTAATCCGAAGTTCGAAGTACGGGAGTTCATCTCCTTCGTGGTCCGTGACACGTCGGAAATCCGAAGGGCTCATCGACGACTGAACCCTAAACCCCCAATACTAAACGGCATAGGCACTAGATCGCCTTGGTGGCATCGTTTTCGTTTCAGCGAGGAATACGTAGGGTTTAGGGCTTGGGGTGTGGAGTAGTGTGGGTCTCTTGTGCGTTAAAGAGCCTCATAGGATTTCGGGCTTAGGTGCTTCTACCATTCGACTTGGGGTCTCGGTCTCAAAAGGGTTCAAGAAGGTGTCTAGAAAGGATTCAATGGTCAGACTTAAGGCTGCAACCCTAATTTCTAGCGGTGCCAAGAGCGAACTACAAGCTGCCCCTGACGGTTTAGGGTTTAGGGTTTAGGGTAGCCTCAACCTCACAGCATTGCCTAAACCTCGGTTCTAAACCCTTAACCCCACATCCTTAAGCTGACCCAACAAGCCGGCGGTCATGGATCGTCCGCGGCGCCGTGCCCTCGTTGCCTGGCGGCGGCAAGATTCCACGACGTGCTCGCTATTTCGCGGCTGTCGGATGCTTCCGGATGCTGGGCTTACCCTAAACCCCTAAACCCTAAACCCTTTAGTGGGTTGTATTGGGGGTTCTTTTGTCAGAGAGGCACGTGAACTTGTAGTGATGAAGAGGAGGCCCGGAGCCGAAACCCCATCCAGGCTTTCAGACTGCGGGTTAGCCTTTGAGAATGTAAGCTGCAGAATGAAGGTGCCCCAGGAAGTTTTCCCTGAGTATGTTTCTTCAACCACTGCAAGGATTCTTGTAAAACCGCCCGGACAAAACTGGGCTTGGAGTATACTGCACCCCGAAACAGGGTGTACGTCTCGGCCTCTGGTTTTAACCGGGGTTTAGTGACGTCTTACAACTGTTTTACACGATGTTGGTGAGTTTCCAAAGGGTGACCAGGCACTGATGAATCTGCAGGCTCATCTGCAGGTATTGCCCGAAAGTTGAAAGTCGAAACCTAAGACCTAAACCCTAAATCACACTCCAATCAAAGGGATAAGCCTGGGATTAGCGCACATAATCACTAGCTTAGGCTGCTCATTGATCTAGAGTCGGGGGAGTTCTTGCCTGGTTGGTGAAGTTGCAGGCTGTTTAGGGTTTAGGGTTTATGGTTTTGAAGCCAAGGTTCTCTGACAGCCTTCAGGATCATAACTTGGGGGAACTAGGGTTCATCTCTTCTGTCTATGCAGTGGCGTTCTGTTGGGTCTAGGGCCCATAGCCACAACCACAACGAAGCTTTCAGGGTCTAGGGGTTACTATAGGGGCCTCAACCAGCATAGGGTACTAGAGGGTATGTTGTAACTCATAGTTAGAATCAGGAGCCCCAAACTGGTATTGGTACTTATTTAGGCCCCTATATCAAGGGCCCAGGGCCGAACTTTTTTCGAACGCCTCTCTCGACAGCTCTTGTGGCTCAACCGGGAACCCTAAGCCTGGCAACTGATGAGCGCTTCAGAAAGCGAGGGTAGTTTTTGGTTGAAAGAGAACCTGGTATGAATTCAGGATCCTTCCATTTTTTTTTGGGGGGGGGGGGTTCCCTTGCTGTTCTGAAACTCTCATATCAGGCTTAGAGGGACACCCTGAAACATCGCCAATCGACGAAACCTTTGGCCCGCGACTTTCCTAGAAGGTCGTGAAGCCGCCCTAAACCCTAAACAACCATCGTCTCAGCCGCGGGTGAATGTTGCCAGACCACGGTGCCTCAAGAAAGGAACTGGGCCTCGCTTGAAGGATCATAGATGCGTAAAGTCAGGTTAGGGTGACAGCTGTCATCCGGGGGATGACATATGTGCAGCTGTAGCTGCCCGCCGCCAACACCAATGAGCCGTCAAGTACCGTATGAGAATTACAGTATGGCCTAGGGTGCTGGCTACAGGGCGCCGTCTAGGTTCTGTGATTCAGGCAGTTTTGTCAACCTTCGAGAAAAAACAAGGCTTCTCTCAGCCCCAACATAAAAACCTAAGCCTGAAATCCAGAACCTACCCTGTCCTTGTTGCGAATCGGGGGCTTCAAGATGAAAGTGGAGGAAACACAGCAGTCTGGTCAACGGCTATGCGACCAAAGCCATGATGGCTTCACAGTGCTCTGCCCTTAGACTACATGAACCCATGTTCTTCGCAAGGTCCTCATTCAATCCCCAACAGAGACTCTCTAGAGGCTCCACAAAACCGGTTCTGGTAGTCTAGTGCGTCTATGCTGCAAGATGGATGAGAATCAGTGCGGACCAAGTCCGGACCACTACGTGCACGCCCAAACCGACGACCCAACGAGCCCGGCACAAAAGGTCTAAGAACTTCAAGTTACAGGTCTTCTTCATTGACTTCGGACTCGAAAGCTTCCAAGATCGGCCGGGGCACTCATGAAGCCTGTGCGTGGGCACATCACCGACGTGATGTCCGTGTGGTGGTTCTTGGTGGGCCACGCGGTCATGACCTGCAATATCCGAGTCGCACAGCAAGCTTGCGAAACCGCATCCAGGAAAACTTGTCTCACATCAGAACCCCCTAAACTCAACCAGACCTGCCACTAGTTGTTGGATCAAGGCTCAGCTCGGTTCTCCAAAAGCCGAAGGTTCGGGTATGCAGCTTGGGGTTCATGGGACTTACTAAGTAGGCTACAATTGGGGCCGTAAGGCATCTTAATTTTGGGTACATCTCCCTCTGTCACTATACGCTTCTAACCCACTTGAACAAACTCCCGATGAGCCTTCAAGCAGGCGCTGGACGTCAGGGTTCCCTACCCATCAAAGAGGAAACGCTGAACCCCTAAGCCGTATCTGCCGCAAAACACAAACATGAAAAACCGAGACACGAATCAGACAACCACAGTCACAGCTAGGTCATATGGAAGCCCCAACCAGGCGGAACTTCTCAACAGAAATAGCTCCAAAGCCTAGGCCCTAAGCCTCTGGATTCAATTACAGGCAAGCTTTCTGTCGGTTTCCCTCCGGGCGTGGACAGCAGATTATACACGGCGGTTGGAAGTGCCCCAAATTGCGGATATCGTATCTATCACCCGAGTGACAAACCGACTATTGCCAAAGCCCCCTTGCCCTGCAAGTCAAACTCACGGAACTGGACCCAAGAGCGAAGCTGAACGCCAAACCCTGAAGCCCTAAACACCAAACCCGCAACCCAAAACCCCCGTAGCATGCCTTGGTCACGCAGTCCTCGTCCACACCTTTGCCTTGCAAACACTCCGAGGAGACAGGTCATAGAAATGACGCTGCAGCGTCTAGGGTGTAGGAGAAAATAAAAGGTGGGTGTGGAGTTTGGGAAAAAAGACAACTGCAGGAGTGAGAAGCTGTTACACCTCACATCACGCGGTCAGCTACTTTTCGCCGCAGTTGCTGCAGAAATCAGCCGCGTTGGCCACGCCAGGCTGGCGTCGGTTGTCGTAGGCCGGGACGGCCTGGGTTTACGATTCAGGGTTTCGGATTCTTGAGGTGTCGAATGTCCAGCTTGTGGCTTCGAGGCCCAGAGCCCGGATGTCGGTACTTCTGAGGTTTGGAGATAGTTAGGGGCTGAATTGGTTAAGGCTGTCCAAGAAAATCCCCAAGCCCGGTCGCACTTGCTTGTAAAGATCGCTGGCGTCGCATGCTGGGCGTGCCCGGACGTTCTGCGTCGTGGTGCATGCGTACTGTCAACTGACTAAGGTTCCCCAGGGCCCTAAACCGTAAACCCTAAACACCTGAATCCTAAAAACCTGAACCCCTAAACTCTAAACCCTGAACCTAAAATCCTAAAGCCGTAAAGCCCTAAACGCCTAAATCCTGAGCCTTCAAGCCTTGAACCCTAAACGCTCTAAAACCTCAAACCCTAACTTGCGGTCCCAACGTAAGACCCAACATATTTTTCTTGAATGCTCTGGACCGCTGGTACCTTTACAGGAAGCCTTCAAAGACAAGGGAGTCGTCCGTCAAGCGGAGCACAGCAGCATCTACATTGAAAAACCGAAACACGAGGCGCATTTGGCATATTTTGTTCTAGCATTTCAAAAAAGAAGGCGCAGCACTGCTGCGTGAGTGGCAGGAAGACCTTGCAGTTTAGGGCTTTAGGGCTTTCCTTGTGGCAAGTGGCTGTCCAAGGGTCGTAGTTGGTTTGCAGGCGGAACCAGTCCGGCTGCCTCAAAGGGGCGAAGTGAACATCTCAGCAACACATCATCCTAGCAGAATGAGGTACATCCACAATGGTAACTCTTCTGCTTGTTGAGAGACAACAACCATACTGACCAACAACAATACTACCAACACACAAGAACCAGAGCAATCATAGTCACGGGCTTCAGGTTGGGCGGTTTAGGATCAGGGTCTCGTTCCTCACTTGGGGATAGACAACGGGACATGCGCTGGCGCTCTCCCACTTCATGGTAGGAGGGACCACCAATTTCAACCCCAGAAGCACGGAATTAGGACTTTGCTTCCAGAGCTTCAGCCAAAATCCCTGAAGTCTTCGTGAAATGTGGTTCAGACCGTGTCAGCAAAGAAACGAGAAATCCGTGGCTTCGTCTCTACATGATCGTCTCTAGACTTCACCCTTTAACCTAAAGGATGCTGAAACCGGAGACCCTAAACCCTTAACCCCAAACCCTGAAACCCCAAACCCTGAAACCCTAAACCCAATACCCTTAAACCCTACACTCTCAGCCCCATACCCTTCACCCTCAGCCCTTAAGCCCAAACCCCAAGCCCCGGTTCCATGAGACACAAAGAAAAAAAGCACCAGAGCCGCCAAGATGCGGGTTGAGGCCGTGCGGGTCCATGGCCTCTGGCACAGGCTTAACCTTCCTCCGGGTTTTTAGAGGGTTTAGGGGTCTTAGAGGGCTTTATGGAGTGTTCGTACTACCTGGAACCCTATTTGCTGAGCTCACTCAGGGAGGGGATTCATTGATCAAGGGTCTACATGACCAACTACCTCAACCGGAGACTTCTAGCAGGGGAGCCCCAAAGCCTGGAAACCTGAAGCAGCAGAACCCGCGAGGCACAAAGCCTGAGCAACTCATCTTTCAACGGGTGAAGTTGTGTGCAAAGCGTTGGGATAGCAACTCGGATGTGTGCTGGGGAACTTCATTGAAATTTGGGTTGCTCGGACGCTGGGCAGCGAAGCCATGTCCACCCCGGAACCACACTAGGGTCAAGAGCTGCGGTGTTTGGGATGCACACCATCTACACCGCTGCCTAGCCACGAATGAAAACTTGAAACGTGTCCACACCAGCAAAGCCTGCAGTAAGGATTGTTCAACCCGATGTGACAATACGAAGAGAACGTTGGACCCGAAAGAGATGCTTCGACAACGCCTAAAAGGGTCTGAATAGCTGTAGTAGGTAGGGTTTTGCATCGTGTTGCAGTGATATCCGTATGTGGTAGCTATACTTAAGGGTGCTGTGGGTATTATTTCAATTTCAGTTCTGAAGCTCTGTTCTGTGTCGGACTCTCGTGCCGCAATCGGGCACATCCAAAAGAGTGCTATTACGAACTATTCCGACTCCTACGACTGTCCTCAACAACCCCTCCAAAAGCGAGTCCTAAGCCGAACTCCCGAAAACAGCGCTGTTGTGTTGAACGGTTTAAGGCTACCGGGCTTCGAGTGTTTAGGGTGAAAGGCTTTGGGCCTTTTCACAGCCTCAGGGTTCTTAGGGGCTCAGAGGGCTTCTAGGGACCCTATAAATAAACCCTAAACCCTAGACCCTAGACCCTAAACCTTAAACCCTAGACCCTAAACCCTAAACCGTAAACCCCTGTAAGCCTTAACCCCGGTTTTTTAGGGCTTCTAGAGACCCTATTTTTAGGTTTCCGCCTGCGGTTCCCCAAGGCGCCAGGCATGGCCGCCGTGGCGAGAGCGGGTGAGGATGCCACCCTGGCGTCTCGGGCTTTAGGGGTTTAGGGCTTGAGGGGTTTTTTTTTTTTCAGGGCCCTTTTCGTTGCTCTGCGCGTCGAAGCCCCATATTGGGGCAGGCTAGGTTTAGCAGCAGTAGGCTCAGGCGTCACCCACCACCGCGAAAGAACGGACACTTCAATCTCATTCTGCAGAGCAAGCATGTGGTCTGGTCAACTCAGATCCCTTCCCCCTTGGTAGTCGTCACATCTTTGAACTGTCCACTGAGTCATTCAGGTCCACTATCCCTGCCCCATCCTTGAGTTCTTGCCCCCATTGTCCTCCCCCGTCGCTGTTCGTCACATCCAGCTGCGTGTGTCCCACAGCTAGCGTACCCATGGCATTTCCCGAAGGTGTCGTCGAAGAAGGCGCCTGCAAGGTGTCCCCCGGGATCCCCTCTTTATTGACTTGAAAGAGGAAGAGGATGTCCGCTCCGAAGATGCCCTCAACCCCTGCGTCCGAGATCTCGCCTTTGCGCCATGCCTCGTAGGCCCTCTGGTAGGCTGGCCCATTCACATCCATAGCCAGCCCATGTCCAGGGAAAGAGGCGTCCGGTAGCTCCCTGTCTTCTGCGTAACCTTCCACGTGCACGGCGAATCTGAGCTGATCAAGCCTGGTGACGGCACTTGGGAGCGTAACCGCTGCCACCCGAGATGTGTCAGCCCCTTGTCCTTCACTCGTTGTCGTCAAGACAAGGCGCCGCCGCTTTGGAACCGTCTGGGTGTTCAAAACCACCCACTGCTCCCAGTCTCGGTATAGACTGGCAGCATGTTCTGCAAGTCGTCGCTCATCGTCGCGGCGTTGCTGTTCCTCGTCCTCCTCGTACTGGAGCTGGTCGGCTGTCTCCTCGGCTTTTTCCTTCTCCAACTCCTGTCGTTCTTCTTCCCATCGTTGTACCTGCTCGTCCGAATGGTCCGGTAGGTCTCGTAGGGGTGTCGACTGGGGGTCATCACTTGCTCTGCCTCTATCCTCATCCGTGCTCAGGTCCATGTGCTCCTTGAGGCAGGTCCACCACTTTTCCACTCTTGCCACTTCATTCTCCTCCGTGTCGCAAACTTCAGGCGGTGTCTCTGAGTGGCCAGTTGTGGCAGCCACGAGGGCAGCTTGGAGCTGAGCACCTCGAGAAGACTGGAGGTACAGGCTAGTCCCAATCCTTCGGCGCAGTGCTTTGAGTAGTCCTGCATTCACCGGGTCGTCTCCGAGATTTACGAGGTCCTGCAGAAGTCTACTCCACTTGTCGCCTCCCTTCATGTCGATGTACTTCTGCATGTAGATACTCTCATCGTCGTCCCCATCCTCCTCCACTTCCACTTCGACTTCTTCTTCACTCTGTCGTCGCCTCTCATCATGTGTGGCGATGAGGATTCGTGCCAGCTCGATGTACATCATCCCCATCAGCCTCATCAACCCATGCACCATCGTTTGAAGATCACGCTCACTGAGTCGACGAAGTGCGTTTCTCGCCGATCCCTGGGCATGCTTGGTGAGGGCGTTTGAGGGCTCGAGCTGCTCTTGTCCCTCCTGCCTTAGCCCTGTAATGACCATCCATTGCCCAGTGGCTTGTATAATATCCAATTCGCCTCTTGACCCTGACGATGCCGGCCTGCTGCTGGGTGCCCCTGGGGTTCGCGTGTCATTCGACTCCCTGGCCCAGCCTGCACATTCCCGTGGAGCCAAGGTTCGCGTCTCCCTCGTGACCCTTGCTTGAACTCGTTGCTCTCGGTTACCAGAACCCGTGCCTCTATGTTCTCGTGACCGTTCTCGTGCATGTCGGGTTCTTCTTCTTGATCTCCTTCGCCTTTCATCGGACCCTGTGCTCTTGTCCCCCCAGTAGTTATGCATGAGGGACACCGAGTCTGTCGCCTCAATGTCGCCTCCCTGGCTCTGTCTTGTCACTTGTGCACGTCCTTGAGGTCCACCATGTGTTGTTCTTCTGGGGCTCCGGCTTCTCTCCCGTCCTTCAGGCGGTCCCTCCATTCCCGCCCATCTTCTCCACCCTTGTAGCTCGTCCGGCGGCATGGAGGGCACACTTCGATGTCGCTGGACTTGGTCCGTTTCGAACCCACTCGCCGCCTCAAAGAAGTCCACGAACTGCTGCCATAGCTCTTCCTCCACCCACACAAAGAAAGGTGTGGGACCTGGCAAACAGCGAGCACTTGTGTCGACATTCACCTCCAGCCCCAGGTTCTCCATGAGCTCTGGAAACTGTTCCATGTAGTGGAGATTGGCCCTTCTTTCCATCAAGGAGTACAGGGTGCTTGCCTGTTCGCGCATGGTCGTCCCTTCCCCCCTTTGTCGTAGAAGGTGTTCACCAAGAATACTTCGTGTTGGGTCAGCTTGATCCATGCCCTGATTCGGGGCCAGGCCGGCCCCCAGCAGTACCAGTCCAGAGTGTAAGGTGAGGAGCGCCGGGTCATCCGTATCCTCTTCCCTCTTGTTCTGCTCCTTCCCCCGGTGCTTTTGATCTTCGATGTACTCCCAGGCCTGCTTTAAAAGGTCAGCAGCTTCTCGACCGTGGTCCTGAATCAGCTGCTGGTAGGTCAGGCCCCCTTTCATCCACTCATCACGAAGTCGTTGCACCTCGTCCTTGGAGAGTCCAAGTTCGCCCAGTCTCCCCGGTGCACGCAGGGGGAGCCTGATCAGGTTCGGGTTTGCCTCCATCCCTTCTTCCTCGGCCTCTTCGGTCTCCGAGCCCGAAGTCCCGACCATGGTGAAGCTCAGACTCACCTCACCTCTTCCATTGTGCATTGGTACTCTCAGGCGGCAACTTTGTGCAGGGCAATCGCGTGAGCCTGTGCTGACCTCCACACCCAGCTCGCATCTCCTGCGTACGTTCCGGCCGTTTGCACCGGGTGCTGCCACCGGTGTCATAGGCGGTGTCAAGAACTCCGAAGGCACCTCGCGGTTGGAGAGCATAATTATGGGACTTTCAGTCCCAAGCCGTCTGCCCTGGGCCCTTGCTGAGCCTGCATGCATCTCGATGAAGTATGTGGCCTCGTTCCATATGCCCTCGAGTTCGTCCGGGGTCTCCGCCGCTGGGTCTGTCTCCACATCGTCCCTCAGCGCCACAAGCACGGAGAGGAACTCCGCCGTCCTTCCCCTCATGTGTCCAAGCAGATACCCGTCCCTTCTGTTGGTTGCGTGCCACTCCAGCCTGCAGAGCAGTCCACGTATGACTGCAGCTTTCTTGGTCTTCACCATGTTCTCCAGTGACACTCTCAACCCTCGTAAGAAGGCGTACCATGCTGGGTTGTCAAGGTAGGTCTGCATGAGGTGCGCTTGTTCGTCCTCCATGCCCTCTGTCGCATCAGGCCAATGAGAGTTCTTTCCAAAGCCCTTTGTGTTCCATGTCTTATCTGTCGAGCTGTGCTTCAAATCAGCACTTTCTCCCTGTCGGGGCCGTGGTGAAGGTTCGCATGGGTTGTCGTCAGGGGTCACGGCGGCTCATCTGGCCCCATGTCGTGTCCATCCTCACTGGTCGTGAGCTTGTTTGAAAAGGTGGCGTAAGCGCCAAACTTATGATCGCCATGTAGTTGGCCTCCAGGAGGGTCAGCAACAGCTCCACAAAGTGCAACCGCCACTACACCCACACTGTAAGCAAACAGCATCATGGATTGCAACGCTCGGGGATCGCTAGGTTTTGAACCTCCGGGCGGCTGTCGAGTACTCAGGCATGACCTTCACAAACCCTGCCGCCTTCCAGTAGGCGGGCTTGAGGGGTTTAGGGTTTAGGGTTTAGGGGTTTAGGGTGCTGAGGGGTTTAGGGGTTGAGGGTGTTCACTGTAGGTTCAAAGTTTGAGGATTGTTGACGTTCGCTGTGGTTGGGAGTTTAGGGTTTTCGGGCTTTCAGACTTTAGGGCTTTAGGGTTAAGGTTCAAGGTTTTGGGATTTTAGGGTCTTCGAATTTTAAGATTCGAGTTTTTCGGGTTTTTGGCAGTATGCTTTCCGGTGGAAGGTTCGCTCAAGTGGCCTCTAGATGTGCCAGGGTTCGGGGGTCCAAGGTCTCGCGTGCAACGTAGAAGTGTACCTAGACCCTAGTTCAAGGCTCCTGGCCTAAGGTCTAGGGTTCAGGATCTGAGCATGTTTCCCTGCTCTCCTCTGCTCTGTCAGCTGGCTTTCTCAAGGCCTTATAAGGATGGTTAGGGTTACGGGGTTTCCAGGTTCCTCTATAGAGGTGCGAAGAAGGATGTTCATGGATGGCCTTATCAGGGGCTTGCAGGGGGATCCTGGCATCTGGACGGCTCAACCACATGCCGCCATCCTCGACGACCTTCCTCTTTGCAAGATGTATATCCACAAGTGCTCACTCGCTGCTCTGATTCTGCCTCCAGGTTGCTTTTTGTTATAAGGCCTCCGGCATATTTAAGGCATATTTTGGTTGTTCAAGGAAGTGGAGTGGCACAACGTCGAGAGCATTGCTACAGCCCAGGAATAATATGGGCAGGTGGTGCAGGCTCCTCCAATCTTTGCGACGGTTGCACCTAAAGCTGGCTCCTGAGATTGGATGAAGACATATGAAGACCTTGGCGCGGCGGCGTGCCCTCCAATAGTTTGCCAAGGTCTTCTGGGATGCAATACCTTGCAATGCAAGGTCCAAGGAGACCTTGGCAAGGAGGAGTCAAACTATTACAGGGAAGGCCCCAAGCCAGGCCAGCCGATCGTGGAGAACCCTGTCACCATCCCCAAGGACGAAACATCGCGGCACTGCGGTGTCTCTCTGCTTCTGCCCGTCACGATTCTGCTAGGAGAGGATTGTCGGCCAGCAGGTACGTCATATAGCCAATGCTTAAAATCTGTTCGAATTCAGGACAAGTCGGCGAAGGTGGTGGAAGTACCAGTTCCAGTTGTTCAGGAGCAGATCTGGCATGCCGCGTTCCCAGTTCGGAAATAGAGGCTTCAGATGTTTGAGGTGAGCATGTCTATTGTTTATTCTGAATTTATCATAAACACTCCGGTACATCTAGAGCGGAGGCTCGTCGGGACCTGTGTACTTGCAGCATCATCTTCCTTTGTGGCTCAAGGCAGAGAGCTGTCATGAATCACGCGGAAGAGGCTCGGTCCCAATTGCGTAACACATGCTGGGAGCACGCGTGGATTCAGGCATTTGGGGTTTCCCATCATGTTCGGATCCTACTACTCAGGGTCTGTATTGGGGCCCATCTCGTTTAGGGCAAGCAAATACCATTGCTCAGCAATAGCGGGTTTAGGGGGATCCTGGATTCCAAACTTGGGGCTTGAGATTTAGATTGCTGGCTTGCAGGTTGCATCACGTTCGTCGCTCCTGTGACTAGTGCAGGACATGACTTCTGGGTGAGCGGCAGAGCCCGAAGCCCAGTGTAGCCCGTAAACCCTAAACCCCAAGCAGACCGAAGCACTCTTCAGGAAGCCGATCCGGATCGCTGCTCTAAGGGCTCCAGGGTTTGAGGGTCTCTGGGGGTTGCGGCCTCTAGGGCTTAGGGCTTGTAGGCTTTGACCATTGTACCTGCATAGGTCAGCTGTAGAGTCCGAAGCTTCACCAGCGTTAAAACGAAGACACTGAGTGAGAGATTGTAAATCATGACGGCGCCCCCGAAAATATCAACCTGCGCCTTGGGCTGTAGACGGGAGTCTTATCTTCAACGGCATTTTCGCTTGTACTTCTGGCTTAGATGAAGTTCTGCATCCGCCTGACCATGCTGCGCGCCGGCGACGACAAAGTAGGCAGGGTTCGCCAAGTGCTCCGAGAGCAGGAAGAGCCTGAGTTTGGGAAAGAAGCTCGCAACATCTCCCTCTGCCCCCCCCCGGACTTGTAGAGCCCTCAACTTTGCCGTTGGCCCCAAAAGACCCGAAACACCCAAGACGTGTACAACGCTGTATCGATTTGTTACAGTGGACGCCTGAGCGCCGAACGCCTGACCCCAAAACCCGCAGCTTCAAGCCCCACGTTCGAGTTTGGGGGTCTGGCCTAGTCTTGAAGATTTCTGGCACGGCACTGGGTGCTGAAAACCCGACCACGATTATTCTACACTCCTTGACCTCATGAAGCTTTACACAAGCCACGGACCGCCCCTTCTAGAAGCAGACCCTTCAGACTCTGCAGGATCTATCGGTCCAAAAGCCGAATCCTGCAACAAATCACCTCGGACTCCCGAAACTCTCCTGAACCTAAACCCCACAACGAGAACCACTCTCACATGCGGTCAATGCAATGAATCCAAAAGCCATGCAAAGCAAGTGAACCCGACAGTTGCACGCAAGATGCTCGAAGTGGTCGAAGTCCTCTGGGCTGTGAGCACACAAGGATTTCCATGGTCAGCGTTTAGAATGCCAGTCTTGAGTCTGTAGTTCAGAAATCTAGGAACATCCTAAACCTCCCGCCCCCGCCAGACTCTTCCCACCCCGTCGGCCGCCCTACCCGTTCCCAGCCCTCAGCCCCAAACCCATAAACTCTCTTCATCTAACGCCCCATCTAACGCCCAGACACTCCGAAGCCAGAATCCCCAAAGGCTGAAACGGGGTTCTTGTTAGGGGATCTACTTTAAGTTACCATAATAAGGAAACCGTATTATTTGCTATAGATCCCCATTACGGCTCATGATGGTAACTTAAATTACATCCCCTAACAAGAAGCCAGGAAAAGGGGTACTCGGCGGCCTAACGGTAAACACGGGCCCTCGGAAGCTCAGCTTCCTCTGCAAATTTGCCCCGTAAGGCTCAAAGAGGACGGAAGCTCTTCTAGGAGCCGCCCTGGAAGTCTTTTGAGCTCAAAAGCAGGGCCCCTTTTTTTCCTAAACCCCTGGATACAAACCCTAAAGCCCCAAGCCACAAACCCCCCAAAGCCTTTAGAGAAGGAAGCCTCGGGGGCTTGGGGGAAGCAGAAGCAGAAGTGCTCAGAGTCCCCCTGTTCTTCTCGTGTAATGTAGGAACCTGATTAAGAAACCCTGGGTCTTTACTAGGGTTCTTTATATGAATCCTGATAAAATGGGGTCATAGGGCCAGGGTTTCTTAATCAGGTTCCTACGTTAGCTTGAAAGACGCACGCGCACTTAGTTGCGGGTCCCAGGCTAGAACGAGGAGTACGAGACCGATGGAGACAGACTTAAGCACAGCAGGTCAAGCTCAAAGGGGTGATGTATATCATGAAAGGTGCGAAAGCCTGTCAACCCACAAAAGCCCCCTTCACCCCCCAAAGGCTTGGAAAGAAAGACCCGAGTCTGAGTCCTTTGCAGTCTCCATGGCCTTGCGCATGACATGTGTCGGAGTCTTGCCACCAAGAAGTATCTCCTTGAAAACACCGCGAGTCTCCCAAGTGCTCGGGGTCTGCTGGTCGAGGGTTCAGGATTCTGGATTTAGGGTTTCGGGAAGTTCGGGTCCAGGTTGTCGCTGACTTGCGTTTGGCTTCTGGGGCTGGGGACACAAGGCAGCGAAGCCAGAACCTGCAACCCACGACTCATGAACCCAAATTATGTTTCCCTGGTAGCTCAGTTTAAGGCACCATGCGTAGATCATGGGCTACTCAACGGACTCAAGCTAAGTTCCAAAGGCTACGTAACCTTCGGGATGAGAAGCGGGTTCTAGTGTCCCAAAATGAAGGCTAAAGTTCACTTAATCTACTGCCAGGCCTAACCCCAAACCCGTCGCCCTAAGCCCAAGCCCTAAACCGTCATCCCCTATAATAATATCTATTATATTATAGTATATTATAGTACATTATAGTATACTGTAGTATCTTATAGCCCTCTCCATCCTCCAGAAGATTCTCGACGACGCTGCCACCGCGATCCCGCGCGTTGAGCTGAACCTGGGAGCTGGAAGGGGCCAAGCCCTAAGCGGCTCCATGTGATTGGGATTTTCGGATTAGGGTCTATGGGTTTAGGGTTTAGGGCAGGTTGTGGGGTTTCGGGTTTCAGGTTTCCATGGGATCTAGAACCTCAAGCCTCCTCCAGAGTGATATGGACTGAGGCTCGAACAGGCTTTAAGCAGCCATTTCAGAAACCCTAAACACTTTAGACCGTCAACTTCCATTGAAGCTTCAAGCTAGGGCCAGGGAGCGACTTTGGAGGGGCTCCCTCGGGCTTCTAGGTGTTAGGATCTAGGAAGGCTTGTCCCTGCCTGCTGGTTCCCTGTTGGGGCCATATTAAAAATTAGTTTTTCGTCCATATTAGGGTTTAATTATAACAAAATGGTAAAATTGTATCCAACAAGGACCCAGCCTGTAGGAACGCTGCCAGCCTTGTGGAGCTTCATGGATTTCGGGAATTGCCGACCCCAAGCCAGGAATCCTCCACCGAGAATTCCCTCAAGCAAAGTGGGTTTTGGTCGGGCTATTCGAAAGCCCAGACAGTTTAGGATTTGGTTCGGGGCATATAAGCCCTCAACGCCCGAAACGACCAGCAAGTAGAGCTTCGGGCTTGCAGGCCTTCAGGTGGCTACAGGCGTCACAAACCGCAAAAAACACATCGAGGCATCAAGGAGCGGAGAACTTGCCCCCATACACGCCATGAAGGATCCCGATCATGCCAGCAACCTTCATGCGCGCTAGAATTATAATGGGGATGCTGCAGGGCTCTTCCGAATTCTTTAAGGACTCCGTTGCTGCTTGCCTGTAGGGTTGGAGGAGACACTACGTGTCTGAGGGATACTTTAAACAATCATCAATAGAAATTCCTAATGCAGAAATCCTACATCAGGCTACGTAGGTCCTAAGGATCCTTTGGGCAGGAGCGGTGCAGGGGTCGGGTCTTTTGGGATTTGGGATTGTGGTCTGGGGGTTCTCTTTGAGCGTCTATACACAGCTCCGGAACAATTGGAGGGATTGGAGGGATCTCGATACGATCGAACCCTAAAGGAATAGGATTCCTGACTGATATCATGCAGGCCTCTGAAATCATCGCCGGCTCCTAAGCTCTCACATGGCCTGCACTCCTGTGAAGGCCGTCTTGCCACCGCGCTGGTAGTCCACCTCCACAACGTACCTGAAAGCCCTAAAACCCTGAACCGAAGCATCTTATCCCTGAATCCCAGGGTTTAGGGTTTAGGGCATCCTATGGCCCAATGCGCATGCTCCAAACCAGACTCCACCAATATCATGACATTCAGTGTTGACATCGATCGAGGTCTAGATCCTCTCCATAGCACCGAGGAAGTCGGAGCTTAAATTCCTACGCCCCGAAACCCCAAACCCAAAACCCTAAATCCTAGACCCCAAACCCTGAACCCTAAAACCCTACACCCCCAACCTCAATTCTGAACCCTGGAACCAGGAAACAAAAAAACCGCTACCCCTGCAACCGACTTCCTGCTGCCGGTGTGCTCAAGCAGCGATGCATCGAGGTCCCAATCCAAGTTCCGGCCTGGCAAAAGAGTAGTCGGGTTTGGGGTTAAGGGCTTATAGGGTATAGGGCTTTAGGGTTTTAGGGTTTAGGGTTAGGGCTTAGGGTTTAGGATGGTTTAGGGTTAGGGTTTCAGGGTCTAGGTTTAGGATTAGGGGAAGGGCGGGGAGGGGGGAGTACAGGGTTCCTAAAGAGTTGGTATACTAGTTAGTTACTAGTAAGTCATAGGGCAGTGAATGCGGGTTATTTTTCAAGCCTACTGTAGGGTTGAAATCGGGTTGGTATGGAATGAGTATAAACGGTGGTATGTGATTCAGGTCGGGGGCTTGAGACTTGCTTTCTGAAGAGGTAGGCAGGAGCTCCTCAGGTACGTCGCAGTATGCGGTTAAGGCACAGGGCTTTGCTTGCGGCTGCGAGGACCTCTGTGGCTTGAGGCTATGGGAGCTACAAGCGGGATTGTGGTCGGTTTCCAAGCCCTTGTGTCCTGAAGTCCAAAGCCTCCCCGAAACTGTGCACCATGCAACCCCGGCAGATATCAGACAAACCCCCAAACCCCAGATGCCGAAATCGCAAACTGTGCGCCTTGCCAAACCGCATCTCCAGCGTTGGGTCCGTTTGCGACGAGGGCCGAACCTAGGGAAAGAAGGAGCTTCGACCTGAAAGTTTGGGGGCTCCCTGGGACCTTTGGGGCGCTTTAGGCTTCTCAGGGCTATCAGAGCTTAGAGTCCGTCTAGGGATTGCCAGGAACTCTTAAGCACTATGAATAGTAGGGGCAAGAAGTATTCAGTCAGTATCAGGGTTATAGTGGAAAGCAGACCTCAAAAAATGAGCAAAAACCCTCTCATGCTACATCACACCCCTTGCAAGCCTCCGAAGCCAACCCGTCGACGCCTGTCGAGGGAGACTCGCAGTTAGAGCAACCCAGCACCCGGAACTCCACCCTGGAGCCCCGAAGACCCAAAACCTGAAAACCTAAATCCCAAACACACTTCAGAAGGTTTAGGGCTTAGGGGGTTTATAAACCCTAAACCCTAAACCCTTTAGGGTTCAGGTTCAAGTCCGAAACCCGCGAGCCTATTGCAGCAGCTTGTAGATTGCAAGGATTTAAGTAAATTGAGGGTGTTGGTTCCCTGCCAGGGTTTAAGCAAATTGAGCCTAGACCCTGAACCCTTAACCCTAAATCCTAAACCTAAACCTTAAACCCTAAACCCTAAACCTTAAACCCTAAACCCCAAACCCTAAACCCTAAACCCCTAAACCCTAAACCCTAAACCTTAAACCCTAAACCTTTAACCCTAAACCTTTAACCCACCCTAAACCCTAAACCTTAAACCCTAAACCCTAAATCCTTAACCCCCAAACTCCTAAACCCTAAACCTTAAACCCTAAACCCTAGGAACTCAGCGTTTATGAAAGAGGGCTGTACGCGGTACGGTTTGGGGTTCAGGGTTTGGGGCTTTGGGCTGTAGGAAGTTCAGGCGCTATACTGACAAATTGGTACCCGGCGGCTCAACTCTCAGCCTAGTCATGATCACATTTGTAACAGGCGCCCTGCGCTCCAAAAACCCCGAAACCCTGAACACCCTGAAGCCTACTTGGCTCATCCTGCCGAGTGGCAAAGACCTGGCCCTTGCTGTTTGCTTGGACAGGGCCCCGTCGTGTTCCTCGCATCGCTGGAAGACGGTGCTTCTGCCTTCTCGGTTTTGAAAAGTCTCTCCAGATAACACACCGAACCAACGGCCCCTCAAGGAAAGCTCAATGCCCAATCTCCCAGTCGTGAACCCGGGTACCTCCTAAAACCTCGGCCCAAACACATCCCCAAACCCGAAGCCCATACCATACACTGTTGAGCCCTATAGCCTAGCCCCTCAAACCCGGAATTACTAAACTCCAGGGAATCATCCAGCTTCTGGCACCTGCTAGGCCAAGCGAAAGAAAGCCAGGCGGCACTTTCGCACAGGACGTCCCGATTCCCTCCACTTGATACACGAGGTTGATGAGAACCTCTGCTCTTCGATGGGTCGCTGAGCTTCTCCGAACTGATGCCCAACCGGCTTTGGATGTAGGATTTTGGGGTTTCGGGCTGAAGGGGGAAGGTCACAGTGGTTTGGGTGCCGGTGGCAGAATGCTACCCAGGAGTGCTTCTTCAGCACCTTCGTTCTGTATCATGTCCGTTTAGGGCCACTAACATAAACCGAAGTCCCAGTCTCTGGACCCAAAGTCTGCCAGCCCATTCTTTGTTTGGGGTTCTCGGGCCCGGGTATCCGGTATTCTTACTGAGATTCAAGCATCACTAAGGGTAAGTTGAGGGCGCAAGGGATGATTTGTCGGATGTTGGATGTGCCGCCGGTGCGACTCTATACTGGTTCCCTGTTGGGGCCACATTAAAACTGATCATTTTTTTATCCTTATTAGGGTGTTATTATAACAAAAATTTTGAATTGTATCCAACAAGGACCCTTTACACGGCACATGTTCCTGCCAAGCCGGCCCACCTCGCGCCAGGAGGGCTCGGGCTTTACACAAACCAAAAAACTGGACACCGATCCCCCAATTCCGAGCAAATCTCGGAAAGCTCAACCAGAGGCGCCTGTTGCCTTTTCGGGTTTAGGGTCTAGGGTTTGGTGTTTAGGGCTAGGATTTAGGGGTTAGTCAGCCTTCATTCGTCTGAGGTCTTCGAGGGAGTTCTGTGAGCTAGCAGCGGCTTGCAAGGAGTTCACGCACCCCAAAAGCTGAAGCGCAATTTTGGTTCCCCACCGACCCATGCAGGAAGGAGCTTCAACTTTTCCTCACCTGTAGAATAAGTCTTGCAGAACCTTTTCCCCTAGCCGCCCTAGCCGATCTTAGAACCGGAATAAAAATAAGATTCTTATCCATCCCCTGGAGATATACTATATAAGAACAATAAAGCAGGTTTCCAAAGACCCTCGAAAAGCGGTTGGGGATTTGGGTTTCGGGGCTGTGTGTCTCGCGTGCGGCTTGGGGCCAAGGTGAGGCCCTAAGATGCAGGATTTGGGGCTGTGTTGATTGAGGCTGTAAAAATGCCGAGGTTTCTTGGAGATGGGTTTAGGGTTGGGGGCTTTTGGGTTCCATGAAACCCTAAACCCTAAACCCTAAGCCCTAAGTTAGCCAGTTCGGGTTTAGACGGGGATCACCGCTCCCACCGGCCGAGCGGCGATCTCCCCGACGGAGAGGTTCAGGGCAGAAGCAAGTCCCTGCATCTCTTGGGCATAGTCCTCGTAGTACCTGCTACGAGCTTACATCGTCCTTCAAAGTAAGCCTCTCTTTCTGGAATCAATAGTACACGAGTCTTATTCTACATCGACGGAATCTTGCGATCTCAGGTGCTTCAGGGATGTTCCGGGGCGTCTCTTGCAGTATGCCGTGGAGGGACTTTGCAATTGCTGGGAAGTTGAAGGCTTCCGAGCTCGAGCTTAGGTTTGAAGGTAGATGCCGTTTAGGATTTAGGGTTTAGGATTTAGGGTTTAGGATTTAGGGTTTAGGATTCAGGGTTTAGGGTCTGTAGGACTTGTAGTTGACAGATTTAGAGTGTCGCGCAGAAGAAAAAAGCTCGCTTGTCCAAAACCAAACACTTTTCGAGGCCGGCCTCGAAGTCATGCGATTTCATAACGTAAGATGGTGCACCTTTACATTACAACATACTATACTATACTCATGGTATTCTATTGTGGTATATTACTTTATATTATACCCTGGTATACCATGTTATGTTATTTATTTGATGTTACATGTCCGTAGAGTTTATGTGGGCCCCATGCCCGCAAGAAGGATTTAGGGGTTTAGGGTTTGGGTTTATGTCAATGGTTGAAAAACCTAGAAGTCCTAAGCCCAACAGGCCTACGTGCAGGTGGGAAGAGGGAAAGCGGATGGACACAGGGGGTGTGCGATAGGCGAAAAATTCGTATAAGCCGTCGAGATGCTTCGGGGCTTCGTACTTGCATCACTGGCAACATTACCTTTGGAACGAAGGCAATCCCATACCCTGAAACCCTTTTCCAATATTGAGCAGACATGCAGGGTGAGACAGCAGCGGATCGCAAAGACACCCCACATAATTGGCGGCCGAAGTACGCAAATTCCAGGCTCTCGGCGATGCGGTTCACGATGGGAAGCAGACTCGCAGGGATGTACTTCCTGGGCGCAGGGTTTAGGGCGCAGGGGATTC